GGGTTCAGCCAGCGTTTGCAATGTAAGCGCAAAAAATGTGTTTATTTACGACATCACATTAGAAACCTCTAAAATTATCAGTGTTTCCCTACTATATTATGCATGTATTATACATATAAACCTTCCTCTTGAATCACTCTATCTTTTAGAAAAAACCGCATCAAAATCCGTTGCGTAGTTTTAAAGATTTAAGCATACATAGGGACAGACAGCGGGAAAGAGACTTTGTTTTATACTATGTAGTGATTTACGATAATTAGATCAGTTGTTAAATTTTCAGCGCTTCTGAATTTTTGTAGAATATAAGACACACATTACAACCTGTTTTTTTTTGCGCAAAGTTGCATCAATATAAAATTTTACCATTTTCGAATAAAACTCATCATTTATCCATTTTTAATATGTCGTGAATTAGATACTATAGCCTATTTTAAAAAACACGTTACATTTTTTTTACTTCACGTAATCACGTATTAATTAATCACCCCACTAACATATACCCTTTTGTTTCGTGACATACAGTTATTCATTCATGAATTATACGAATGCATACTTGCATCATCTCTTTATGTTCATATGCATGTATATAAATATTTTAATACTACTAAGTATATACAGGATGTACACCCGTTGATTTGATCTGATCTAAATAAAGAATAATAATAATAATAAAACATATCTTGAATTCGAATTGCTAAAGGCTTTCGCGGCCAGTAGGTGAATTGGTGCTGTCCTGATTCGGGTCTAAAGACCGTCGTAGGTTGGAGTTGATTCCTAACGTTTCGCTAACACGAGTGGCGAATTTCTTCAGAGGTTCTTTCACCTCCTTTCACCCTGAATCACCTCAGCATCAATTTATCTTGGATTCATTTAAATGAAATTTTATTTTCACGATTTGTACACTTTTTTCGTTGAGGAATTTTATATGCACAATTCATGAGCATTTTTCAGTTTTTTAAAAATGTAATTTAAGAAATTGTAAAATCTGTTTATAAATTATAGTGCACAACAGTTGTAAGCGGAATAATAATTAAATATATAGTATTCACACCACCATAGATGTTCAATGATGAGTGCATTAAAAAATCTTAGTCAATTAAACTGCCCAAATGAGCCCCTTTTTATATTATAATCCACACTATCATCATCAAGTTTTTGAAAGATGGTGGGCGTTTACTGTTATGTAATCATCAGACATAACTCAATAGAAACATGAATTATCAAGGCAATAATGGGTACTTCTTAACATCCACAATTAGAGTAGTTCATTATGTTATATCAAAAACATATTTCAATAGTTATCCAGAATGAAGATAACCTCATACATATACACCTATTTTTGCGAAAATATAAAAAAATAGAAAACCTAATCGATCAAGGGAATTTTAAGTAAACAAAGAATCTAGGAATTGAAGGGTTGGAAGATTAATATTTAAGTGGAGAACGAGAACCAACACCGACGATTCGCCTCCATTTGGGAAACTATCAAGGTAGGTTCGGTGCTTGTAAATGGTACATAATGTGGTGTAAATAGACATTGAGTTAACACAGCACAGTTATTCATAAACCAATAAATAATTAAATAGTTAATAATTAACACTGACTTAAAAACAACGCGAGTACAATAAGTTAATTCAATATTCAAACGGACAAAAAAATTTTTTATAAGAAAAGTTTTTTGTTAATGTTATTAGAATATGGCAACAATGAAAATTTTTCCAATAGAAATTTAGAATTTCCAAGGTAGAAAAATATTTTTGAGGGATGTTTTGCACATAAACAGTTTACAAAATTCAAATATTTAAATACAATCTTAATTATTGGACGTCAAATAAACTAAGAATCTTAAAATTCACAGTAGATGTGTGAACAGGTAAAATGCCAAGATGTTTTCCATCCGACTCCATAGTGTAGCTCTAACAAAATGTATGAATGTATTTGTACCTGTTTGTGTATGTGTGCCTACAATCTAGAGTCGAAACGACGGCACTGACGCCAATTCTTTAAGCCCTATCCCGGTATGTGTGTGTTTGAAGAAGTTTCACTTCAGTAGCGTGTTGTATAATTACACGTTGTATTTTTTTTTATATATAAGTTGATGATGACGATCTATATATAAAAATCTTAAAAGGGGATAATTAAATTAAAATATTTTTGATTAACAAAAAAAGACTACATTAGACAATACACACTAAGATGACATATATTTATTGTTATTTACGCTAGATTTGAATAAAAAAAAGACATTTAATTTGCATTATCATTATTAATAAGTAGTTATTAAACTAAAAACGTAGGTACCATGATAGCATTATTCAATTCATTCCTGTACTAACGCGGGTACTCTTTAGGGGCAACTTTATTAAAACCAATTTTATTGTTAGTTTAAGCCTTTTTCTCAGATTACTACGCTTTATCTGAACGGCTGGTAGCGGTCACAGTATATCTCCGAGTCCAGAGTTGCGTATAGTGACATGTTTGCGATTAATACAAATTTCAATCTCTTATATCTCAAAAACTAAAATAGCTAATAATATCAAATTTAAGGGCATAATGAAAATATTTAGTACTACACAAAATCGTATAAAAATAAAAAAAAATAAATTTTCGGAACAATTTTATAAAATTGAAATTATGCACGTTTTGCTTCGGGCAACTGCCATCGCCTAATTACAATCTACAAGTGACTGAATACAAGAGTGAGAGAGGTAGCACCACTTTAAAAAGAGAGCATTAAAGAGATAGAAGATACGTTCCATTGCGGACTTGAATACAAATTATTTAAGAATAAAACAGACGTGCTTTTGAGATGAGGAAAAAAATACAAAACCGAATATCTAATTTAAAAAATGTATTTAAAACAGGTGCCTACTTATATTTTCAATTTATAGATAATCGTTTGGCTGATTTTCTCGTTGTTCGCTGATTGTGATGCAACATAAAATTTTACACAGATGGGTAACAAGATAATACGTAAATAAAGAATTATTAAGAAAATTGTCATTGCGACCTAAAGTTTATACAATAATATAATTTCCCAAAATAATGTTTCTATGTACGGGCATTACAGATGATTGAATCTGTGCATGTTGGTTAATTTTGCAAAATTAATTTTGAAAATGTGTGGGTAATTTTCGTAAGAAATGGCATTTATATGAAATATAATAAATTTATATGGACCATGATTCATTCTTGTTTGTTTTTGAAAACTGCTTTAAGAAATAAGTACTTTTAACAATACTTTGATAATTAAGTAGAAATGTTTCAAAAATATAAAATTGTCGTAATCTATTGCATTTATTAAAAGTCAAGCATCATGTATCCATATTATAACTATAAATATGTATATACATTATGTCACCAGGTAGGTGTATTATCAAATTACAAATTTCTAGGTGATATGGTTTCTGAGAAAATTGGTATGAGTTCCGTTTTTTTGTGATAGGTAGGGAATCCTTAAATATTTTTTTCATGAAAAAATTACTTGATTACAGAATTATTTAATTACTATTAATAATCAATATATTATTTATTTTCTTTCTCGTTGCGTTACTAAATGAAAACATTTACTTATTCAAATATCTTTTCCTATAATATATAGGTATCCTAATTTAATTTTTCTTGTTCTAAAATTATATTTATTTACCAGAAATATACATCTGCATAGCTGGAGAGTTATTAAAAGCAATATCGATTACCTGTTCGTAGGACTGGAACACAAAAATTGATCCAGTATTAGCGAAGTTATTGTATTTGCTTATAAGTAAAAAATTTTGCTAGATATCTCAACAATTCGGAAAAATGAAAATTTAAAATACTTTTGTTTGGATGCAGTAACAATTTGAAAAAAACCTTATATGAAATTTAATTACGAAAATTTTTCTTTCTCATGATTAAGTCAACAATTTCTGAGATACATGCCGCAGTTAGCACTTTATGTTATTTTCTTACGTAATCGTTGAAAACAACACGTGTCATTTACCCAGTTAAGAACCTCAAGAGATAACGACATAAACATTTTTCAAGCAGTTCCGTTCACAGTTAACCCCGCTCCCTGCGTCGACATACTTTTAGCATTTTATCATTGTTACTTTTTCGTCGGCTAAAAGGTATTTCATATGTAAAAACATTTTCTCTGAAAAATAACCGATAAAAATTCAATCAACAGACACGGATTGAGGAGAATATTTTCATTATTGAATTTAGACCGAATTTTTATTATTCATATTTATTGTATTAATTCCGAAGATAAATGAAAATTTATCTGGATAGGGTGGCTTAT